AAAATATTTAAGACACATCTGGTTCAAACAAAAGAAATAAAAAGAAAACTTGAAGATCATCTGAACTCAGTTATTTTAAGTTTCTTTTTAGATTTATATTCAAATTTAGAACCTTTATTGCTATTTTACTATATTTATATTCATTATTATTCTTTCTCTTCCTGCTGTTGTAATGTAAATTTCAACAATCAGATAAAAGAAATGCTGAGAGGGTTAATAAAAAAAGAAATAAAAAAGAAAGGTGAACCCGTTTGGTTCTGGGTTCAGAAATAAATGCGTCAGTGGCTGAACAGGTGCAGCTGGACACAACAACAACAGGCATGCTCTGTGGGTCCCAGGAGAACCTCCCCCACCACTACCACCCCCCCGTGGTACCTTCTGCCTCCTCTGTGTCACTGCTCAAATGTGTGTGCATGTGTTTGCTGGGTGGGTGCAAAGAGAAGCTAATATCTCCTCTGTGGAGGAGTCAGGCTCCTACAGCCTGCATGGGTCTGTTTCCACAATGCAAGGCCTCCCATCCTCAGGAGAAAAAGAGCTGCTGAGATACATGCATGCAGCTAAACACACACACACACTCCTCTGGGACGTGATGTGCTCTGGGAGGTTTAGCACCCAACACCAATGTCTGGAAAAAGGATGATGAAAGAACTAATAACGTCATGGAAGGAAGTGGATGCGACGCACAAACATACGAATTGAACACTATATATAGAAAAGCAGGTTTAAATAAATGCAGATGTAAGGCGAACTCCTAAAGATCAGCAAAAAAAAAACCCTGAAAAATCTGACAGCTGCCCAACTTTCGTATTTTTGATTGCAATAAACTCCTGAAAATTCAGATGAAGAATGTATTTAAATGGTATAAAGTGGACAAAAAAAAATACACAAAAGCACAGACACCAGCAGACAATAGGAGCTCAGTCACACACACACACAGAGACACAGGAACTGTTTTCCTGTGGCAGCCTTGGGGAAATTAAAACTACATTATGGAGCTCCAGAGGGGAGCAGTGAGAGAGCGATGGAGGAAGAGGACGATGGGGAGAGGAAGCAGCAGAAGGAAGGAGAGAAAGAGGACAGAGTCCAGTTTTTCTCAGAATCGGCCATCATAGGGACGTCGCAATTAAGCAGAGGCTTGACCTGCAAACCCTGTTTTCTTACTTATAAATCAAATCATCCATCATTTTTCTACACATCTAATCTTATACAGGGTCCTAGGTGGGGTATCTCCAGCAGACGGTGGACTAGAAGGTTGATACAAAGGGTAAGGAAGGTTATAAGGTCTTTCAACAGGACAGGACAAAGTTTTAAGTTGTAAATTGTGAATAGTCATTCAGGACAGCTGGCCTCTGTGACAAAGTTTTACCCTACAATTATATAAAGATTGAGCTTTTGGGCCAAAGTGACAGAAGCTTTGCTCATAGGTGCCTAAACATAACAGGTTACAGGCGGTGGCAGTATAATACTGTGGTGACTGTGCGTTGAACAAAGAAGTAGGTCGTAATAAAGGAGCAATACCTCCAAATTCTTTAATTTCGCCCTAAATCCACAGGTATAAGGAATCAAAGACTAAGCTTTGGAATTACCTTAGCAAAGATCAAACCACATGTGTTGGAAAAAATTTATCTGACTCAAGGCTTCAACCATTTTGAATCAATGCAACAATTTTTCCAAAGCAGTCGTCAAATATTCTAGAAGGAAGCAAAAAAGCAAAGTTTTTAGATAAATACTTGACAGAGAAAGTAAATTCTTTTTTGGCTGAGTAGTTTTTGTAACAATAATATGATCAAAAATAAATCCACAGAAAAATCAAAATGGGATTATGCAACCAGTTGCATTTTCGCTACAAATGGTCAATATAAAGAGAAGTTACCAGACTTTCCAACAACAAAAAGAAGCGCTATGATGAAGAAATCCTCACTCAAAAAGAGACAAACATCATCTGTCAGTGTGTTGAAAATAATCAATGGTGTGTTGGATTACTAGACTATTGGATAGCTGCAGCTCTAAAATAGCCAGAGATCTGTCATACGATAGGTGCGGGAGGCTGATTCTCGGTACTCCACTGGAGTGTGTGACACCACACGGCGAATAACAATAATCTGGTTGGTCTCGGCTTCTCGCTTTCAGCCTGGGGACTCGACAAACCTTTTCCACGATGACTCACAGACTGTTTAAGTGTCAGCATGAGCACACAGAACGGGTAAGTGAGTATAGTCTGCAGCAGATGGAGAGAGGCGCTGTTCAAATGAGAGGAAGGATGTTGTCTGGTGTGCCTTTCTTCTTCTCTTCTCACTTTTTTTGCTCAGGCAGAAAGATGTGAGATGAGAAGGAAAAACAAGGAAATAAGATGTTTTCTGTTCATTTGATGGTCTGACAGGGCAGAGAGAGATAAGGGAGGAGGATGTTACTGTACTTTTAGTTTTAGGGAAGTTATGTGGGACAGAAAGGCCAAGGAAGAAAAAGGAGAAGAGAGGAGAATAAGTTGGCTTGTAGCAGTTCCCTCCAGGCTTTCCTCCCACCTCCCCTCGGCATCTCTCCTGTGGGCCTTTCCAAACCCAACACACATTTTCCAGAGAAAGAAAAACGGTAAGGCAGAAAAAAAGTGTAGCGAAAAATAAAAAAGGATGGGTGGAAGTTTCTGAAACTGGTAGTATAATGAGAAGGAGTTTTTGATAGGTTACATCCTCATCCCTGAATCCCTGAGAGCAAAGGAGTCGTCGTTTTGAATCTGGGGAATAAGACGTAATTCACACTCTTACTATGTGTGCAGAAGTAGGAGTTAACAAGCAAATGAAGGAAAGTAAAAAGTTAGGCCTGCGGAGGAGCGACAGCAGCGAGTATGGAGAAATGTAGAGAGAAGTGGTGAAAATCTGATGCAGAAAGCTGTTGGGATCCAAAACAGGCGGTAAAACTGAAAGTGTGGCTGAGTAAGGGAATATGGGACAGAATGTTTTCACTGGAGGAACACTCAGTTAGGTGTGTGTCTGTTTGTGTGCAAGCGTGTGTGTGTCATGGGACCCCAGCTTCCTGCAGGAACTGACACACACAGCATTTCTACTGAACCACTCAGGACCAAAGTCAGCACCCTGCTGAAAACACACACACTGCAGCAGACTTCAGGCAGCACGGTGGGCCCGGGAGGAGCCTGAGCACAGGTTCAGAGGAGGCTGGGAAAGGGAGGGTTTGGCACGTCATGGACACCCCAGGAGTGATTCCTTTCGTTTCCTTTCAACCCCCGTAGAGCTGAACGAAAGACAGGGCCAGGAGAGACTGAGAGGGAGCTAACTGGATATTTACCACATTCAGCACTATCTCGTCTCCCTGCAGGGATCCAGTCAGAGGAAGTGCTTCGCCGCTCCCTAATAGGTTGAAAACCAGAGCAGGAGAAACTCACTAGAGCAGAAAAAACACCTTACTGTTCTTTTTCTGCCAAGTTTAGGAAAACGTGTGTTGAAACCACTTAAAAAAATAAAATAAAAACAAGCATACAGTCACCTAACATTGGGGTGATTGTGCCAACAGCCATTGAGAACACCCTGTTTGTGAGCCGGACATCTAAACTCAGACCTCTGAAAGCCTTTACTACAGGACTGAGGACAAATAAAACACCTGTAGAAGCTGCTCTGCATTGTTAACAATACAGTTCAAGACAGTTTGAAGTTCCAGGGTGTGTATAGCATCGTCCTCTTCAGTAGGAGTCTATCAGCGTCCTGCATCTGAACTTAGCGACATTTAGTCCCTCTACTTTTTAAAGTTCTCAGATAGTCAGACAGCTCTGCTCCACAAACATCTTCAGAGGAGCCCAGAGATCCTCCATCAGACTCACCTTTAGCTTTCTAACAGAAACCTGAAGGTTTGGGGCCAAAACGAAGAGAGATATATATGAATGTATTTAACCCTTTATTCATTGTGACAGAAAAAAAACACCCATAACATGATTCTGCCACCACCGTGTTTCACTGTAGTGATATAATTATTTTACACTAGAAAAAAAAAACGAAATCTAGATAAGTCCTTTTTTCTTAAAATAAGTGCATTTGTTCTTGGATTCAGGAGGTAAAAGACACATTTTGCCAATGGAACACTTAAAATAAGGAAACACAACCGCATTGTCTTATTTCAAGTGCATATCATCTAATTATCTTATTTTAAGGATAAAAATACAAATTCCATTGGCAAATTATTTCATTTACCTACTCAAATTAAGGGTAAATACAAATAATTTAAGAAATGTTTACTTATTTCTAGATCGTTTTTCCAGTGTAGTGTTTATTTTGTTTCTAGTTTGGTTTCATCAGAACAGAACCCTTTCTTTGTCCAGCTTAACGTAGGTTTTAGTCACTCCTGTATAAAAATATTCTTGTCCTTTACTCATTTAAAATGGTGATTAACATAATTATTACCGTACCAACTGAGACTTTACCCGCCAGATAGGAAAATGAAATAAAATAAATCAGTAAAAGCTCCATAACAGGAGTTCCAATTTGCACTTTTTTGATGTAATGGAAGATATTATTTAAGGAAGCAGATGTGTAGAAAATTTCCTAATTTCTTTGCAATTTCAAATTTCAATGCAGGGGAAAACAGGTGGAAAAGATCAGGGACTGAGAGGAAAACAGAAACAAACAAGTAGAAAACAAATCTAAAAAACAGAAAAGGCAAAGCTCATCCATCTCTCCCTTTTCATCCCAAGATATTCAGACCACAGAGGAGACAGATCCCTCCTTCACCCTCCCTCCATCATCTCCTTCCATTCAGTCCAAATCCAGAAAACATTTTATCTTCATCATCCCTGTTCTTTTCTCCTCTACACCCTTTCCCTTTACCGTAAACTTCAACCAATCCCTTTATCCCTCATGGTTTGTTTACTGAATCTTAGCCAGAAAACCATTATAAATCACAAGGACTGTCGGATCTTCAGCGCTCATCTCCTGGTGTAGATCAGAAATGGCTCTCGGTAAGTTCAGTCAAATGTTTTCATGTGATGAAGGACTAACCTGTCTGGACGGCAGATTCATCCCAAGTCCCTCCTCCCTCTGAGGGTTCTCCTTCTTCCACCGCTGAGAAGAAAACAGAAGGGACACAGAGAAGAAATTAACTTTATGAATTGCATGGATCAAACAGTATCACCATAATTTGTGTTATTAAAAACAACCACATGAACAAAATGCGCTTTCAACTGCATTTAAAGGATAATTTAAAAAAAACAACACAGAAAACCATTTTACTAGATCTGTGCATTTTTGCAAGTTGTAAGTCCGATTTTCTTGATTTTCCTATTTTGATTCAAACTTTAAGCATACTGCCTCAGCTATGGTGGCTTTATGCAGTAACCAAAACCCTCATGAACAGCGGTTGGTATTTCTGAAGAACTTTAAGCTGCTTTTATTCCAGTACATATTCATATTCAGCATGTCCGTCAAAAGAGGGACCATATAAACAAGTGATGCATTATAGGGCTTTAAATATACTAAAGAAATATTTTCAATTGCATCAAGTAAGACCACTAAATCTGAGCGGTTGGCTTCCTGGTTTCACCTTGAGAAAAAGATGGCAGCTTCAATGCTCTCAAAGAAAATGTTAGCAAAGTTTGGAAAAATAGTTATGAGCCAAAATGATTTGGTATGTGATCTTTAAAGGAATAGTACACCCAAAACATGATTAGCCTTCATTTTCTACTCACCCCCATGCTGAACAACACTCTGGAGTACTTTTTTGATATCTCAAATGCATCTGGAGATCTGGGAGGCTTCTTGCTGTCTGCTGACATTCAAATAATGGAGGTCCATGGCGCCCGAGACAGAAAGGTCCATAAAAGTCCACAAAAACGTGTCAATATTCCTCCATACTGCTCGTCCAATGTAATCCAAGTGTCCTGAGTGGGTAGCATCCAGAATTTACTCGAAACGAAGTAATTTAGAATGTTTTTAGAGCATAAACAGTAGTGTATAGGATTTCCTAATAGCGCCCCCATGCGCGCTCACGATTCTACGGAAGCCGGCAGACCAAACCGGAAGAAAGTGCGCATTCAGCGTCTGGTCTGCCGATAATGCAAGCGTAGAAGAAGAAATGTGCTGTTTACCTGTGCAAAGAAAGAAACAACGAAAGAAAAATGTCTGAGGACTTCAGTGTTGAGGAAGAGCATGAGTTCTTTGCCGAGCTGAATGCGCTGGTTTGGTCTGCCGGCTTCCGTAGAATCGTGAGCGCGCATGGGGGCGCTATTAGGAAATCCTATACACTACTGTTTATGCTCTAAAAACATTCTAAATGACTTCGTTTCGAGTAAATTCTGGATGCTACCCACTCAGGACACTTGGATTACATTGGACGAGCAGTATGGAGGAATATTGACACGTTTTTGTGGACTTTTATGGACCTTTCTGTCTCGGGCGCCATGGACCTCCATTATTTGAATGTCAGCAGACAGCAAGAAGCCTCCCAGATCTCCAGATGCATTTGAGATATCAAAAAAGTACTCCAGAGTGTTGTTCAGCATGGAGGTGAGTAGAAAATGAAGGCTAATCATGTTTTGGGTGTACTATTCCTTTAAGTGTTTATTAATGAAATTTGGATAAGTTGCATTTAAAGGTACTGAAATCTGTCCCATTAGTAGTGAGTAAAGAGACCAGCGGGATAACAACAAACTATGTCAGGTTATATCAAACAGACAGACACCTCTGATGACCTGGCATCTCTTCGACACATTCACACGCTGAACCGATCGCAGCAGGAATGTGACACCAACTTCCTGGGTACAGCAGGAAGGAGGAAAGCACAGCTGGCACACAAACAGGAAACGGCCGGAGTCAGCACACAATGGGATTTCCTCCTCTCCCCTTCCCCGGCACGCAACGCTGCACCTCTCCCTTACGCACGGTCGCTCCTGATCCCTGCAAATCCCTTTGCTCTCATCCCACTCCCACCACTGACCTCCACCCTCCATCTCCTCAGCACCTCCCTCCTCACCGCCGCCACCCTCTCGTTAGACTTGAGCCAAGAACTCAGATCAAAACAAGAAGTTATAAATCAGCAGACTGTTCCTTTGTAAAGATAAACACAAGAGCAGGAGTTACACTCATTTACTCACCAACTTTATTTATATAAAGTACAGTATATATACTATTTATATATGAATTTATTAAATCAGTACCTGTAGTTTCCTGAATAAATAAATTAACTTCAGGATCTGTTGCAGGTTTTAACAATAGAGCGATTTTTGAATGGTATTCAGGGTAACGATGTCTTACTGGTTGCTGCTGTCAGTACAGATCCACCCTTCAAGCCTTTCATTGTGACTGATGAGGATCGCTGCAGTCTGATATCCATTTCAGTCAATCCTGTCCAATATTTACTCCACATTCAAACAGATGATGGTTTTAATTCAACAGCTTAATGTAACAAACATTAATCAGACTGTTGCTTAGAACAGAAAACAAAGAAAAAAAAAAAGAAAACTTTTAACTTCACCTGAGTTCACAAATCTCCATAATGTCCAATTTATTTACAGCCATAATTGTAGGCCTTAATGCATTGTCTTATAAGAAGCTGTTGCTGTGCACTTATCAGTAACCTGATCAAATGTAAATCTGATGAATAATGTATATCAGTGTCTATACTGTTTCTGAGACATTACTGTGAATTTTCTATTTGTGTGCAACTTTTTTTTTGTTTTTTGGCAGTAGGCCTAAACCTAACAATAAATATCTATTTAAATGCAATTTGGGGTAACATGGCATCATGCTATCTAGATTGGGGGCTTTTTTTTAAATAAAAATAACTTAAATATCAGGCTCATTGCAGAACCTGCACTAGGAGGTCCAACTGCTAATTGCTCTAACATGAGGACTTGTCTTAATCGGTCTGAGCAGGTTGAAGCTTTGCAAAGACCAGAGCGCAAAAAAAAAGCCACAAACCTCTGACATGAGGATTAAATAGAAACTTAGGCAGATATAAGAGTAAGTTTAGATCTGATAAAATCCATTTTCCTGATGAGGCTGTAGGGAATACCGTGTGTTTCATTAGCTGAGCACACACACAGCTTTATTTAGACTATCTGCGTCCTCCCTAAAGACTCGCACACGGCGTTACTGTGAACCGTGAGAGTTTATGCAGCACATGTGCAACTATGGGAAGGAGTAAAAATAAGCAGAAATCTGCATTTGATCATTAACATATAAGAGGAAGGATGAGTTTAGGAGGTAAAAAAAAAAGGGGGAATCACAGCATCCAATTAATTCCTTTACACTTAGACACAGAAATCCACCTTCCTTTATTAGACTGTTTGGAATTTTTCAAACCGACACAAAACAACAATTAACAGCAAAACAACACCTCAGTAACTCTGAACTGCACCAAACTGTAACACATTAATACTTTTTTTTTCTCTTTTCATTTCCTATTGAACACCTGGAAAAACAGGTCTATTAATGCCTTTCCTGGAAACCTGTCAGTTGAAAGCGGAAGCAGCTACTAAGGAGGAATGTGAAGCAAAATAAAAATTCAGGGAATCTTTGGTGTTTTGGGAAAAGATTTCCAGCAGAAAATATACCATCACTCAATTAAAGAGCTATTCAGGATATTGATTTACACAGAAGGCAGAAAATGGACCTTGTTTCATTAAATCAGTGAAATACGTTGGAAGAGGCTCCCTGCCTGATGTGCATATCATTACATCGTTGTTTAGATGCAACATCGCAGTTAAAGAGCAAATCAGGACCAACAAACAGGTGAGCAGATAGACCTGCTGATGGATCACTGGATGCATAAATCTTCCTGAAGGTTTGCTGCTGCAACTATGCAGTTATTTGAGAAAAATGGCACAATTTCACCTATTAAATAGGCACTGATTTCCCAATTAATATTCATATAAACCATATCTGATCTTATTGTTTATCTCTGGAAAGTGGGGTGCTTTAATTTTACTAATGGCCCAGTTTCACTCATGAAAAGATTTAAAAAAAAGTTTTTGTAGTCATAATAATACTCTATCCACACATCCTAAGTATGCTGTAGGTTAAACATGGCTACTTTCTACTGGAGTAAACCCTAATCAGAAACATGCAACACACAAGCAAGGGAATACGCTCCAGCAGTAACCTCTGCAGTACAGCAGCTGAAATACTAAACAACAGAACACTCCCGTCTTTGTTGTAATGAGATGCTATGCTTCATTAAGCACACAATTACACCAGGTTGTCCACAGCGACAAAACCCACATTTACATGCAAATCGAACATGGGATGCAAATGAGAATTTACCAAACCAAGGGTCTGCTGGTCAGAAGCAGACGGGAGTCTCCATTTAAATCCGAGCGGCCTCAGCAAAACTCTGAAGCCAGAGGATTTAAAACCCAACAAAAACACGACTTCCAGCTGTTTTGGTTTTAGATATGACTCAGTCTCTGAATTTCAGGTGACCACAACAGTTCTGAAGCCTCTTGGCCAAAAAAAAACAAAGCAGGTGGGTCTTGTGTGAAACCAACCATCAGGTTCAGATGAGGATCTGGGATGCAAGGCTTCTATTTTAAGGATTACCGTACCAGGACATTTGAATCAAAAAATATGGTGGACCATTGTTTACAATATACAAAACAAACCTTCTTCTATGACCATCTCAGAACTCCTAACTAGATGCTATAGAAAAGCTCTGGAACTGAAGAGAAGAAGGAGTTGGAGAAGGTCTTAGACTCTGGATGATCTAGAGCAGAAGTGTCCAAATCAAGTTCTAGAGAATCATGCAGCTTCTAGACGAGCAGTTTACAGTGCTTTCTTCAGTTGTGAGATAGAAGTGCTTGTAGAATGAACTTGGGTGCTCCTGCTCTAGAGAGGTTATTCAAGGATCCCCCATCCCTGTATGCTCCATGTGATAGGTTATAAGAGAGCGAATAGTGGGATGTATAAAGGGTCAAAAGCAGGATTCCCGGTAATTTGTGACACCTTCCTTTTTCACCTCAACCATAAAATGCAGTCAAATACAAGGTTTAATATCTTAAACCTTTTAGTGTGAGAATATGCTGCATTTCAAACATCTGAACCAATAAATGAGGTTAACGTAGCCCATT